ATCCCCAACCCCCGGTCCACGGCCCTGTCCTGGTCCGTGGCCTGAGCTGAACCAGGCTGCGGAGACAGACTTCCTGCCCCCGCACACACACGCACCAAGGTAATTGGTAAAATTGTTGTACTGCTCTAACAGTTAAGAGATTTTTCTTTATATTCAGCCTAAATCCAGCTTCCTGTAGTTTGAGCCTATGATTACGTGTCTCTGGGATAATCAAGAACAGATCATGCCTTTCCTCTACATGACTGTTTTTCAAGTATTTTGAAAAGTTCTATCGCATCTCCCCTCTATCCCCTTTTCTCAAGGCTAAACATGTTCAGCTTCTTCAGTATTTCCTCATAGGGTTTCGTTTCCAGTCCCCTGATCATCCTCAGAGGAGTAGAAACCAGAAAGAGAGAAAACACCTTGCGTGGGGGAGAAGAGGGAGCAGAGTGAAAGTCCGAATTAGCCCCAGAATAGACCTGCAAGGGAAAAAAACGGGGTGGGAGAGAAAAGAAACAGAAGAGAAAGGGGAATTGCTGGGCAGTCTAGAAGAGGGTGGGGGGAAAGACTCGTGACAGCTGAGAGGAAGACTGGGTCACTGGATGGGTCCATGGCTGGACCTCCAGTGTTTAACCCTCCTGCTTTGCAGATTCTTTACCAGCAGAATTCACTATGCCACAATGATAGTTACGTTACATTTGCTATATTCATAGACATGTGAACCACTAGGTGCTCAGAGGCAGCCACTTCCCTCAGGCAGCAAATTTTGCAGTACCAGTGTATTTTTGCAGTCTGTCCAAGGCATGGATCCACATCAGTTTTAATGTACGGCCATCTCCAAATTATTACATATCTCCATTTCCTCAGTTGTGGCACTGGCGTGAGAGTTTGGGCTGTAAACTTCTTTGAAGTGGCATATTTTCTCCCCACTTGTACTCTGCAGGGAGCTGTCCATGGAGTGCTCATGGTGTTGATGATGAAGATGAGGCTTGCCAGGTCTCAGAGAATGAGCTGCAGTGCCAGGAAGTGGCTGTGCTTCCCTGAATCTCCAGGCCAGGCAGACAAATGTCAGGAGCAGAGGTGGAAGGGAAGGAATAAGTCTCGTTTATTGTTAAGGGGTGGTCACAGTGTTTAGGTACACAACTCCAACCCTCTCTGAATGGCACCAGGGCTCACTGGCTTCCTGCATGTCCTGGACACATAATATATTTAGGAAGTCATATAGGGGACCAACGGTGCTTCTCCCACTCCTTCACACCTGCAGACACATTACGTTCCCACTGTTGAAGAGGCTCCTGCCTTTTGTGACATCACAAGGCCCCACACCATGACCTCACAGAGACCCATACCACGGCATTGGGCTCCAGATATGAGGGGATGGGGAAGATGCTCCAATGAAACCCCCTGACAAACACTCCAAAACCATTCCAGAAAAATATTTTATTAGTTTTTGAAAAGAGGCTAAATGGGTATCCCGGTCCTCAGCGGAGACAATGGCCCGGTTCTGCTACAGCAGGACACCTGCCTTGTGGTCCCTCGCATCAGCCTGGGGAAGAGGAAGGTTCTGGCCCTGCAAGAGAGAGAAAAACAACAACTAAGGGGCGAGCTCGTCCACTGCTGTCAACTGGCTTCAACCTAGGCATATCCACCAACCAATGTTCTGGCAACTTCATCCCGAAGTTCCGCCTGCCAACATCCACTGGCTTCCACCAGGAATATCCACCC